CTCTCACTCATTCCCAAGTGCTTTCCCTGTGCAGGGTCCTGAGGCTGCGACCTGGGGCCTGGGAAAGCAGCACAGCATGTTCACTGCTGACTCTCTCCAGCCAAGTGACTGTTAGGCAGGCTTGGTGAGGCTGTGGTGCTGTTGCTCCAGCGTTCCAAGTTCTGTTGGGACCTGTCACCGAAGAAGTGACCCCACATGCTGGGGTCCACAGGATGAGCCTCCTGGTCTGGTAAGAAGACCCTATGGCCCCTTCATTTTTATTTTGGCAGAAAAATGTACTGTTTTGTTTCATGTATATATCATTCCAAAAGTATTTTACGTTTATGGAGCTTTTAAAAAGTTAATATTATTGTTACATTTGACATCTACATACTGATCATACTCATCATAGTGAATGTGGATCTCTACATGATATATCATAATTCCCTTTTGTCCAGTCCACTACCTTCTCTTTAATTCTTCTTCTCTTCATTATTTACAAAATTTTGCTTCCATTTTTCTTTCTATTCTTTTTTCCTTGTCCCTCATTTAATTTAATTTAATTAATTGTCCCTCCCACCTCCCTTGTTCCCTTTTCTATTTGGACTTTTTCTATTTCCCAATATCTAGTATACATTTTGGACCTTTTTTTACCCTTTTGGGTTTTCACACCAGAGAAACAAGGTAATATTTGAAAATGTGTGTCTGTGTAATTTCAATAAAGTCTATGGTCTCAACATGCATAAGGCCTCAAGCTTATCCTTTTCTGTTGCTGATAAATATTCCATTTTATAAAAAAGAAACCCGATATCTTTTCTACTCACTACACTTTTGATGGGCATTTGTGCTGTTTTCACGTTTTAGCCATTACATATTGTACTGCTATAACATGGATGTGCATACAACAACTATTCATTATTTTGGGAAGATACCGCCCATCCTTTCCATAGTGGAAGAAATTTGAATGCTCCTTAAAAACAGCAATAAGAAACTAGAAAAGTTGTTTGTAATGTTACAGGTTAATGACTTTCAAGTTTTATTGCAAGAAATATGTAGATGCTTCAGATGCAGCAGGCATGGTGGGGAGTGTGATTTTCCATGCAAAGGATTCATTCTCGCTCAAGACACAATGCTCAGGGTCATTACTTAGAGATCTGTTGGATTTCAGGAGGATTTTCTTTCCTGGGTTGCCTTGTTTCATTTAAATTCAAACATTGACTGTAGAGATGTTCCACAAATATCTATAATTGCTTTCTTTAAGAGTTAAAAACATTTGAAATATTCTCCCCTGGGTGGCCAGGCATGGAAGATTCATAGCAGGTTGTAACTTTCAGGTGCACATTTAGAGGTACTGACACTCAGACACTGAACTCTATCACAAAGTGCAGTGTTCAGTGCTGTGACCTAGAGAGAAGGGACAGCAGGTGGTGACTGCAAGGTACAGTCTTTGTGAGGCCCTGGAGATCATCGCCCCAATGGTGATGCAGAGCACTTGCACATATCATTGGGGAATTTTTCCTGTGTCCACTGCTATCCCCTCCTGTCCCTCCATCCCATGCTGACCACTGGATTTGCCCTTTCTAGAGGATGTGGAGCTGTAACCATTCAGTATATATATTTTCTGCAGGTCTTCTTCAGGCAGAAAACCATGGTGAGTTTCCTGTGTGCTGCTTCTTGTCAGTGGTGAAGCCCTCACAGCCTATTGTGTGAATGGGGCAGGAATTGCTCCTCATCCATCTGCCGATGGCCATTTGTTTTGTTTCCAGTGTTGACCGAAAAATGAGGCCACTGTGACCATTCTTACACACCTGCTTGTATGGTACAGACCATCATTTCTTGGGGGAGATACTTAGATGTGAAATTGTTTGATCATACTGCTGATGTACATTTAATGTTAAAATTGTAAAAATGTGTTTTAAAGTACTTGTTGTAAGCCAAGCTTGAGGATTTTGTTGTTGTTATTTTGTTTGTGTCTTGGTTTTTGGCGTGGATTGTGAGTGTATATCCTGGAATTATTGGTGTTTTCTAATTTGATTTTGTATAATCAGCCTGAGAACATGCTGTTTATATTACATAAATTCAGGATTTCTGTAGTGGAGAAAAATTAAAAAGAAAAATATGAAAATCACATATAATTTCAGGAAGCGAAAGCTTTTGCAGTTCCTCTTGCATGTGTGCCTTAGTCAACACACCTTGCATGGGATTGACCATCATGTAGACATTGGGATAAAAGGCAGGTATTTGCATTTGTTCAAATTTTAATTTTTAACCATTTAAATGAAATGGCTGCAAATATGCTACTACATATATCCTCTCAGCATCTGGATATCTTAGTTGGAAAAATTTGATCATTCTTTTCTTTTTTCCTAATTTTTTTTGTACTAGAATTTGAGTCTGGGACTTCTCATTGAGTTCTATTCCCACATCGTTTTAAATTTTGTTTTTCCCATCTTTTTTGTTTTGACGCAGGGTCTAATTCACTATTTGGCCCTGGCTGGTCCTAAATCTGTGATCCTCTTTCTTCAGCCTCCCAAAGCCCTAGAATTTCCTGCCCTGGGCTCTCTCTCATCCTAGGGCCCAAGGTCTCTGGGTCT